GGTAAAGGATAATATCCAGAGGTTGAAAATGGGAAACAGATTCACGGAAAATGAAAAGGAAATGTGTGAAACATTAAATGAAAAGTTCCAAAGTGTGTTTGTACAAAATGAAATCTTCAGAGAACCAGACACAATAAGAATTCCAGAGAACAACATAGAGCGGATAGAGGTGTCTAGAGATGAAGTGGAAAATATGCTAAAGGAGCTCGGGAGGAACAAAGCAGCTGGCCCAGATGGCGTTTCACCATGGGTTCTGAGAGAATGTGCATCTGAGCTCAGCATTCCACTTCACCTGATCTTTCAGGCATCCCTGTGTACAGGAATCGTAGCAGACGTGTGGAAACAGGCTAACATAGTTCCAATCTACAAAAGTGGCAGCAGGGAAGACCCCCTCAATTATAGACCTGTATCATTGACAAGTGTAATAGTGAAAGTATTGGAAAAGCTAATCAAAACTAAATGGGTAGAACACCTGGAGAGAAATGATATAATATCAGACAGACAGTATGGTTTTCGATCTGGAAGATCCTGTGTATCGAATTTACTCAGTTTCTATGATCGAGCCACAGAGATATTACAGGAAAGAGATGGTTGGGTTGACTGCATCTATCTGGACCTAAAAAAGGCTTTCGACAGAGTTCCACATAAGAGGTTGTTCTGGAAACTGGAAAATATTGGAGGGGTGACAGGTAAGCTTCTATCATGGATGAAAAATTTTCTGACTGATAGAAAAATGAGGGCAGTAATCAGAGGCAATGTATCGGAATGGAGAAATGTCACAAGTGGAGTACCACAGGGTTCAGTTCTTGCACCAGTGATGTTTATTGTGTACATAAATGATCTACCAGTTGGTATACAGAATTATATGAACATGTTTGCTGATGATGCTAAGATAATAGGAAGGATAAGAAATTTAGATGATTGTCATGCCCTTCAAGAAGACCTGGACAAAATAAGTATATGGAGCACCACTTGGCAAATGGAATTTAATGTTAATAAATGTCATGTTATGGAATGTGGAATAGGAGAACATAGACCCCACACAACCTATATATTATGTGAGAAATCTTTAAAGAATTCTGATAAAGAAAGAGATCTAGGAGTGGTTCTAGATAGAAAACTATCACCTGAGGACCACATAAAGAATATTGTGCAAGGAGCCTATGCTATGCTTTCTAACTTCAGAATTGCATTTAAATACATGGATGGCGATATACTAAAGAAATTGTTCATGACTTTTGTTAGGCCAAAGCTAGAATATGCAGCTGTTGTGTGGTGCCCATATCTTAAGAAGCACATCAACAAACTGGAAAAGGTGCAAAGACATGCTACTAAGTGGCTCCCAGAACTGAAGGGCAAGAGCTACGAGGAGAGGTTAGAAGCATTAAATATGCCAAAACTAGAAGACAGAAGAAAAAGAGGTGATATGATCACTACGTACAAAATAGTAACAGGAATTGATAAAATCGACAGGGAAGACTTCCTGAGACCTGGAACTTCAAGAACAAGAGGTCATAGATTTAAACTAGCTAAACACAGATGCCGAAGAAATATAAGAAAATTCACCTTCGCAAATAGAGTGGTAGACGGTTGGAACAAGTTAAGTGAGAAGGTGGTGGAGGCCAAGACCGTCAGTAGTTTCAAAGCGTTATATGACAAAGAGTGCTGGGAAGACGGGACACCACGAGCGTAGCTCTCATCCTGTAACTACACTTAGGTAATTACACTTAGGTAATTACCTGTTGACGGACGGTTGAGAGGCAGGACCAAGGAGCCAGAGCTCAACCCCCACAAGCACAACTAGGTGAGGACATATATTGTAAAAGCACAAGCCGCCGACTAGTGGCAAAGAGCACTACGCCGGCCAGGCAAAGAAGGCACAAAACTGCATCAAAAGGCCCACCTCGACAGCAAAACCACAAAGTCCCAGCACAACCACAACATGTGCCAAGACCCAAAAAGCTCAGTCTGCAAGCCAGGAAGACCCCGGAACCCCAAAAGGCAGAACCGGGTCACACGAGGAAACAAAGTCCCCTGAACCCACAAAAGGGGGCCCAAGAGGAAGAAACCTCCAGAACGAAACCAAGGAACCCAAAGGAACCCAGAATCGAACCAGGGGGAGCCCAAACCACCACATTTGCCGGCGGAGAACACCACTAAAAGGCAAAGCACAGACCCCAGCAGAACGCCCTGGGAAAACGGTCCCAACAGACCGAAAACCGAGGGGCAAGGTGTGGGAGCAAGCATACCAGCCAGGGGCACTGAGCCTAAACCCAGAGGCTCAGACCCAAAATCAACACCCAAACGTTCCCAGAGGAACAGGCAACGGCAAGAAAACACCAGAAAAACAAAGAAACGACAACAGGAGAACAAAAACCCTGCAAATTTTTTGAAAACTCACCAGAGACGCTCGCTCGCACACCCAGACGCATGTAAACAAACCGCAACGCCGCCCTGGTGGCCACGCCGTGAAACCGGCAGACGAAAATGGCCGCCAGCAGGGGCTGTGACTGACGCTTAATACACAAAAACACGCCAGCAAATGTGGGAAGCTAGCAGACTGGAAGGGCGAAAAACGACGCCCAACAGCAGAAAAACCCCTGAAGGGGCAAAACCGCCCCAGAACTGCTAGCAGGCAACCCCCACAGCCCCGGGAACCAACAACAGAGGCCCCGGGGCAGAGCCGTCCTCCAAGCCCTCCGCCCTTAAAGAAAAGCAAGAGCCCATGGGAAAGGCAACAAGAAAGGGCCGCTGGTAAGACCCAGAAGCCTTGGCAGGAGGCACAGGCTCAAACCTCCGTCCCCAACCCGAACGGGGCATCCCCCGAAAACCGCCCGAGTCTCTGCCGCAACTGAACCCCGCCCCGACCCCGAAACCCGCAGACGGTCCGGAGCCGGGAACATGGAGAGAAAGGGGCGAGCAGCACCTAACCAAACGGGGCGGCCACGGGGCATTCGAGTGGGAAACCAACCTAGCATGTTGCAGCAACCTAACCTAGCTTGCAACACGGATGCCGCCTGTACTCTGAACAGTAATAACATCAGGAGAGTACTGGAGAACAAGCAGAGAATCACTCGCAAGACTCCGGGTCAAGGTGTCAGTGACCCAACAGGCAGCATGACGGAGGTAAAAATGGCGACTGTCACCCGGAGACAAGGGAACAGCAACCAACGATCCCGTACAAGACGGGTTGGAACCCGGAAGACACATTCAATGGTCCCCCGAGCCCAGACAGGGGTTTCCAGGGCCCGTAGGGTAACAACTACGGGAAGCCCGGGCAAGGTGTTGCTAACCGGTTAAGAAACCCAAACATAACAAGAGGGTAGATTATAGCACTGAAAACCCCTGAGACGTGTACAAGCACGGGGGCCTAGCAGAGGGCCGCCAAACACTACCAGTGGAACTATAACCACCTTAGGCAGACCCCCACCAGGCAAGAAAATGAAAAACAAAAGAAAAACCCCGCAAAAGTACACCGTCTCCAGAGGCAACAGAAACCGGCCGCCGCTTAGGTGGCAGGCTGCGCAACACCTTGACGCCCTAACCAGCACAATACCAATCCCTACCCAGGGCCAAACAAGGGCCCCAAGCCCCAGCTGGCCCCAAGGGCGAGGCAAATGCCGAGCAGCAAGAACCTCTACGGGAATGGTTCCCGAACGCCCCAGGGAAGATAACCCTGTTACGCAAGGGCAGTACTCACAGGGCGCTTAGGGAAGTCAGCCACTAAGCACATGCAGCCCCGGCACTGATGAAGTACTCCTGGCCACCGCACACCACAACACACGGCAGTGAACGCCACACAAGGCAAACACCGCCTAGGAAACTGAGGCCAGAGAAGCGTCAATCCCGGTTGACATTAGCGAACGAACTGGAGCTTGGCAGCCGGCGCGGTAGGTCCGGGGCTCCCCCCTCCCCCTCCCGGGGTGGGGAGGGCTGCGCGGACGATCGGCGCGGCAGTAAAGTGTGATGTTTGCTTGTTTGCTTGTTTCCTTGGGATTGTAGGGAGTTTTCTACCTCTCTGTTCGGTTTTTGTTGTAGTTTCTTACCATGTGGGGTTTGTTTTGTTACGCCTACCTTTCTGGGTGCCTAACCCCGGTCGATGGCAGATAAGGAAAACCCCCAACCATATGGGGTTTTCCAGGGCCATTGCTCCCTGAAACCTCTCTGAAGGGGCCAGGTTCTGGCGCTGGTCCCTGGTAGGTCTGAACTCCTTAGCTAATGTCCCGGTCTAACATAACATACATTAGCCCGATAAGCTCCAGGGAGCCGTAGGGGCTCCCCACAGAAAAAACAGAGACATTTGGGCACATTTCTTTTCACCTGATGCGTCTCTTCACCTAGCAATAAATAGGTACCCTGGAAGCAATGCAACTGTTGTGTGTTTTATGCTACCGAAGGTCAGTAGCGTGCCTAAGGGGCACCTTGAAAACCTAACAGATAATTTTGCGAATAGCTAAGAGTCTTATTACTGTCTGATGAAAATACTTGATAATAATTTGCCACATTTTAGTAGTTTTGTTAAAGATTTTACGTATTTAATTAATATTTGGACTAGGCACTAAGACTCCATTGGACAGGCACGATCTTCAGTAACATGTGGTACATAATATTAATACTTTTACTTCACCTTTGGCTGTTCTAAATGTATTATTTAAAATGTTAATGAAAAGTTAAAAAAAAAAAAAAAAGTCATAAATCTAAGTTTTATGCAGTGCATAATAGTTAACAATTAGACGAGGTGTACACCAACACAGTCACATCCCGATGGCCAGGGATGACAGCAGCTCGAGCAAACAATTCTCATTTGCGATGAACCTTTGTTTACTTCACTTAACATAAAGTGTTCAGAAAATCCAGAAATTCATTACAACACAGTTTGTTAGAGCAATGACCCACTGTACTAGAGATAATACTGAAAACCATAAAATAACAACCTGATGAAATAGAGGAATATAATTCCTAAAAAAAGAAAAAAAGAATAATTATTTTCACATCCTTACTTTTGTGCTGCGACTAGATCTGCACGAACTTTGCTCAGCTCTTCAGATATGACTTGCTTTGCTTGAATCTCAGAGTTGAGGGATGACTGTAAATTTAAGAGTTCCATCTTGTCTAATTTCTGAGAGCGACGATTTCGCCAGTTCTTCTCTGGAGGTGCTAAGACTGACGATCCACTGCCAACAACCCCAGATACCTTCAGGGTCTCCAGTTCTTCCGTCATTCGTGTAGCTAGAGCTTGAAGGTAACCACGGGCATCCTTCTCATCACTCACCCTAATGAATACAAAAAAACAATAATAAATGGAAGGCATAGAACTCTTGGCACAATATATGGGAAGCATTAATTAACACATGCTATAAAAGTTAAGAAAAACCAAGTTAAGAATGTAACAACTAACATTATGTATGTGTGACAATGAGATGGTAAACACAGCTCAGGATAATGATTAAAATACAGGGATTGTTGCAACAAATTAAAGATCTTTTACAAAATTTTGCTTCTGATCCATTAATCATTCAGGGGGACAAAATAGCCAGAGGCTGAAATGTCTTGGGATTCCTAAGCTTTATCAAGCATTCAGCCCATGAGGAAATAAACTGCCAGACACAAGACAAAAATTAACATTAGCTATAAGAAAATTTCAGGAAAAGCTATTCTTAAATATTCCTGAACTTTGATATCAGTGTATTTGATCAGAAGTATAAACGAGAAAATCACTAGGAGCCTTGAGGAGGATTCAAACCTGTACACGAGTCTTATAAAACTTAAGGCCAAATTATAAGTAGGTTTCTAGGGAGTGTAATAGCCTTATAACTGGTTATCAGAGGTAAGACTAGACCCACATTGTTTACATGAAATTGCAACAGTATGAATTGAATATATCATATTTTCTTCACACACTAGATGTTTTCACCATGTTTTTTCAAGGGTAATGAAGCATTGGGCAGTTAATAATATTTGTATCACAGAACATGTAGAATATTGGTAGTAACAGATAAACTGTACAGTACTTGTGCTATGTATTAATACAAGTTCTAATATTATATTCCTTGAACAATAAAACACTTTTTTTTTGCTATTATTACACTATATACTTTTAAGCTATCAATATTTTTATGTACTATAAAGAACCAATAAGCAGTATTGGTGGGTGTGGTGATGAAATCCAAATACAGCATGGAGCACATGATACAAGAAAATATGAGGCCTCAGTAGACATCACCTGATTCAACAAAATGCCTCCAAATATACTACACACATCACTAAGACGAGCCACAGAACTTCTATTATCACCACATTCCTGTCACTAAATCCTGAATATGAATTCATTTCCACAAGGTTATATTGTAAAGGAGCTTCAGACTGTTTCATGGTGTAAATACATGAAACGATGGCCGAGTGCTGTGGCTGTCTGCCTCACGCTGTAAACATCATAACTAGCAATGTGTTCATTGATATCTGAAATTGTACATAGTCTTCAACATAGGATCATCTAAGACACTATCAAAGCAAAATAATTCCTGATACTAATTTCATTCATAAATATTATGCGGTGCTGCGGATATTAGTTGCACAGCAGTGCTGTGAGCTCCAGCCACATGCATCAGCCTTGGTTGCTCTCTCGGTACTGAGGCTTTCACAGCAAAGAGAGAGATTCAGAATATTTTTTCAAGATGGCATCTGTTTACTGGAGCCCTGAAGAACAGGATGTGAGCCCTGTGCACCCACAGGAGTCTTAAATCTTATGCTATACCTAAAAACAACTCTGGTTGTGGTATGCACCGCTGATGAAAAACCTTGGTTGTGATGCACAGTTGAAAGAATAAAGGTAAGGTCTTCTGACATGATTATCCCTAGATCTTTTTCATTTTATAGTGTGATTTTTTACTGCATTTTATATGTGGTTTTTGTTTTACCCATAGAACAGGAGCTGTTATCTTCATTAAACAAAATATTATCTGTGGACCCATTGAAAGACCTGATAATATCAGATTGAAAGTTTACTGTGTCCTCTGTATTGTATAATTGCATGTAACTCCTAGTGCTATCTGCAAGTGATACAGTACTAGTTTAAATCCATGACTATCTGATATAAGGATCAGGAAAACTACTGGAACAAGTATGGTACCTTGGGGAGCGAGCTTTAACACAGTGGATGATATGGCTTTCACTTTGACTGTTACAGGATCAGGAGGAGTCTACATCATCAATGGAAGGCAATTGCAGGAATCAGTGAGAGAGAGAATTAGGAATGGATATAATTCCATCCCTAATACCAGAGGCACACATGGGCAGGGTAACATTGGCAGCATATGGGACACTGGCAAACAATAGAAATTCATTTAGAAACCTAAATCAGGATGTGTTCAAAGCAATCTACACAACTTTTGTTAAACCAGATCTGGAATATGCAGCACCTGCTTGGAATCCATACTTTGTGAAACAAAAATAAAATCAAAGTGCAGAGGTTTCCAACTAAATTAGTGTCAGAGCTTAAAGGGTTAGGTTATGAGGATGGGCTGAAGAACTGAATCTCACAACTTTGGGGGGGGGGTCAGAAGAAAGAGAGAAGATATGATAACACTGTACAAGATACTGAGGAGAATAAACAAGGTGGATAAGGTCAGGCTCTAAGTTGAGGGAAAAGTAGGACACGAGGACACAAATGAAAGCTGGAGTCACAAATGAGCAGAAGAAATGTAAGGAAATACTTGTACCATTTATGAGTACTACTTAGTGCATTCAACAAGTGGAATTCACTAAGAGATGAAGTTGTGGAAACCACCTCCATCCATAACTTTAAGGATAGGTTCGACAAAAATATTGATTGTTATCTGGAGGTTATCTGGAGATGATTTCGTTTTTTTTTTTTTTTTTTTTTTTTTTTTTTTTTTGTCCCCACGGCCCGGTCCTCGACCAGGCCTCCACCTCCAGGAAGCAGCCCATGACAGCTGACTAACACCCAGGTACCTATTTTACTGCTAGGTAACAGGGGCATAGGGTGAAAGAAACTCTGCCCATTGTTTCTCGCCGGCGCCTGGGATCGAACCCAGGACCACAGGATCACAAGTCCAGCGTGCTGTTCGCTCGGCCGACCGGCTCCCGCCGGTCAGATGTCAGATGTCACCCTAATTCACTGTTAGAATAGTGAAGCTGTAATGCAACGGATACAACAAGGCCAGTAGACCTCACCTTCCCATAGTCACTGATAGATAAGCATTCTGGGTTCTGTTCTTTAGGAAGTTAAAAGACATATCTCCCTACTAATTCCTTTTGAGCACATTTTGTGTGCAATAACACCATGGTCCCATTTGCCAAAAGCTTTTAGAAAGTCTGTTTATATTACATCTGCATTTTGCTTGTCTTCCATGGCACTTAAGGCCATGTCTTAGTGATTTCACAATTGTGAGAGTCATGAGCATCCTGTTATTCAGGGTTATGTATATGTTCTGATTTCATGTGATTTGTAATCTTACTTCTAAGGACTCTTTCAAAGATTTTTATGATGTGTGAAGTTAGAGCTAATAGTCTATAGATTTTTTCCATCTTCTTTACTACCTTCTTTCTGAAGTGATACGATCTTCACTTTTATAAGTATGTCAGGGATAACACCAGTGTCTAGGCTCTGTCTCCAGAAAATATTTAGAGCCTATAATACTGGTGTTCTTCACTTCTTGATGAATATTGAATTCCAAGAGTCTGAGCCTAGTGCAGAGTGCATGGGCATGCTGTCTAGACTACTTCAAAGTTCAGTGGGATTAGGGTGACATCTGATGTATGGTTTAATGCTGGTTTAACATTCATAAAGTTTGGGTCACTGTTCTTCAATGTTTTCAGGGGTTCACTGAAAACAAATGAAATCCCATAACAAAATAACTAACTGACACAGAAGCCACTTAAAAACTACAAAATGACCAGGACAGAAAGGTAAGACGACAACAACTGATATCAAAATGCAGCTGCCCTCAAGACAGGCCCAAAAGGACAAGCATACCACTGCCCAAGAAAGCAGTAACAGGAGGAACCCATACACACACCACACCCAGATGAGGGAATGAAGCACTAGAATGAAACAACTGCCACAGACAAAACAAGGTATGAAACGTCTGAGATGCAAAGGCAGTAGGAAAGCTGCCTCTCACAGAAACAACGACAAAGCCAAAATATGGAATATTGTATCGGTGTGGACTGTGCTCATCCACAAAATACAGAAACACGGGAAGATACGTTCATTGATAGCCCAAGACAATGAGACAATGTTAGTTTTATCTGCTTCCCAGATAGGCAGATAAATATGTATGGATCAGTTCACATTAGCACCTCACACCCCTCAATGTCTGTATCTTGCCAAAAGGTCTATTACAACCAAAGTTGCAAGGCAGTCCGGGACCATTGATATAGGATCAACACAATTCCATTTAATGGAAAAAGGCAGATCCAAACAATGCACCTTCAGCCAAACATAAATAAGATTGACAGAATGGGAGGTCATGACTTCAAGGAGCCATCCACAATTCAGGAGGAAACTGGGACTATATACCAAAGAAAGAAAGTGGCAGAGGAAACAAAGCAGAACAAATTCAAGACACAGTAAAAACTGGGGCTGTGGCCTCTGAACAAAAACTGAAACAAAGTCACAGATAACCATAAAGAGGTTGAAGGCAGCAACAGAGGACATCGGTCAATGGTACAGAAGCAATAAGAGTCGTAAGACTACAGATGGTGAACACTCACCGAAACCTCAGCAACTCAAATCATGGTGAACTTTGCAAAAATCACAGCCGGGTTTAACCATCTCTTGAATCGAACCTTGTTAGATTGCTTGAAAATTTTCTATTGTGTCATGTTGAATATCACTCTGCCTAATTGTACATGATCCATTTCCAAGGGCATGGTGCAACAGTACTTGAAGCAGCAGCTCATTGTGCTAAGAATACTGGATTTTGCAGAAGTTGCAAGGCATTAAAGGATACAGACAGGTATTCAGAGCAGCTGTGTGTGTTCAGCTTTTTCATGCAACATACCTTATCAATATAGAGTAGTAGTCAATACCAACAATTAACTCACCATTGAATAATTTCGGTTATTTGTGCCTCCCACTGAGCTATTGATTCTTTTTTACTTCTAAGATCCTCATACTCTTCTTCAAGTGATCGACGTTCATTCTGCATTCTATTCAAGGTTTCCGTGAGCTGATACAAAATAAAACATGAAATACTGTAACACAGAAAAAATTATATATAATATGATCAGGAAAAATAGTTAAAAAAAAAATGTTCTTGTCTGGAGTGCACATACTGTAAAGCAAACTTGTATATGCATTACGGGGGCATGAAGGCCTTGAACAACAATTGGGGGATTGGGAGGAATTAGTCTGAGAGGTTGCTAGTGGCCTGAGAGATCAAATGAAATCACAGATACATCAAATCTGCTTAGTCACACTTAGTTCATTAAAGATACTATATTCTTGAAACTAACTACCAAATTTTAAGCTAAAATATATGCATAAAAAAAAATCACGGACTTAGGTTGCCTAGCTAGTGCAATAGTAGCTTTCTCTTATTTTCATAAGGTTTTAAGGTTTTGAGATATATCTACTGAAAACAAATAGAGTAAATGCAATAAACTTCTATCCTAAATTTGTAAGTACTGAACTAGACACTTTACCCTTTCCACATCGCCAAGGAGTTTTTTATTATCATCAAGCAACATTGCTTTTTCCCGGTCATGTCTGCGCTTAACATCCATAACAGAATCTTCCTGCTCTTCAGATCTCTTCTCTAGTTCACTGCGCAACTGCTCCACTTTCTTCGTTAATACAGTCACCTGAAAGAACACACATGAGCCGAGTTACAATCAACTGAATGACAATTTTTCCTCAAAGTGATTCTTGGATGGCTTACAACTACAGCAGTTTGCCTCTACAGTCTCTCTATTAAACTTACTCGATGTTGCATTTGTAGGCTGCATCAGCTAGATGTCAATATAAGAATAACTGGCAACCATAGTATATGTGGGATACTCTTAGTCAAGCACCAGAACACTTATTATTATTATTATTATTATTATTATTATTATTATTATTATTATTATTATTAATAATAATAATAATAATAATAATAATAATAATCTTAGTATGTGTGTGTCTTAGTGTGAGGAGATGGTTCACCAGCTCACTTTCAATAGTGCTCTTATGCCTGTGGAGGCCAGTACACTTGTTAAGTGCACTTGTTAAACACTTTAAAGGGACCGCGTCATACGTACACGGCGGGTTTGCTTATGCGGGTTCTGCCCCCGCGTCGTAAATAGCCGTGCGATGTAAAAAAGCAACATAAAATCCAATTCTTATTCGATCGACTTGGGGTTAGTATGAAAATGTTTGCCATTAAATTTCCGTTTTCTCTAATAGGCACATTGCCTATTTGAGAAAACGGCATTGTATTGTAACTTAGTGGAGAGACTATTGAGTTGGTGACACAACGAGGGCAATCGCTCACTTCACACACTCTTGTGTCGGCCGCGATCTTGATTCTACATTTATATGCATATGTCTGTGTAGAGAATTTTATTGCAAGTTCAGTGATATAAAAATTAACACTGTAGGACTAATGTGGAGCTGACAACAAACAAAAGAGTATGAACATTTTGTTGCTGTTTGGGCATACGGCGAGTGATCTACGTTTTTATTTATTTCGTGGTGGAATAGCTAAGGCTTTGGTTACATTTTATACATATGATCTTGTAGATAATTTTATTGCCAACACATTGATACCAAAATGAAATACGTAGCTCGAGAATTGGTGTCAGGAGAGTGAAAAGATTACACACTGTTTGGTGTTTACGCTCAAGAGCCCAAAACGCCGCGCGCACAATGCGCAGTGTTTTTTTCACGGGGACCGCACGCATTAAAGTGTTAAGTGCACTTGTTAAGTGCGTGGACTTAAGTTTGGTAACCAGCAACCAAAACATCTAGTGTTTGGGCTCATGTGAGAGCCCCAGTCATCAGGAGTCCAGAAATGTTACCCTAGCTGTGTAGCAGGTCTGTGGACAGTGATAGAGCCGATAGCATCATTCTATTGTATGACTTGGAGCGAGACACAAGATTTGCGCAGGAATAGGCAGCATGCGTGAGGTGAGCCGTGGGCCTCCCGCGCGCCAGCCACACGAGTCGTCGTCATGGCAACACCCGCCATCTTAGTAAACATCTTGAGCCGCCATGTTGGTCGGCCATCTTGGAATTGCCCTAGCGGCCACGGTACACCTCGCTGATTGGTTAAGAGGTGTAGGCCGCTCTAGGCCTTTCTCTCATTGGTTATTTCGAGGAGGACGCGGGAATCGCCGGCGTTTCTCTCTCCAGCATCATTCTGCTCCAGTCACCACCATAGCTGGACATCTCTCTCTTGCCCATTCGGCCAAATCGGGCAAGACGACGTCGTGGTGACTGTCTCCTCAGCTTCCACTGCCACCTCCACCAAAACCGCCAGCTGCACAGTCAGAATCCAGCTGGAGTCATCGTCCATGGGTGGAAAGATAGGGAATGAGAAAAAGTTCTGGGATAGTGGGGTAATGTGCATAGGAGCAGTAACAGACTCGTAGATCCCATACCAGTGATTATTGACGTTATAATTACTGCTAGTGCTCTGTAGCAGTCGATGGGAACGGGGAAATTCGTGCCAAGTGGTCAGGGGCAGTTTTCTCATAGAAATTTGTTGAAAATCTTGAGTCAGTGTTTTTGGCGCCAAAGTGTTGAGAGCGCTAAGCCTGCTCGGAAAGGGTGGGGAGGTTTCCGCTTAAGCCACCTACCGAGATCTCCACCACTGTGAGTCAGCCACCCGTAGCGGGGTGCCTGATGTATGGGAATGGTGTGTGTGTAAGCCGGTAGTATGAATGAGTAAGTACCTATGTGTGTATGTCTGGTGATTAGTTAGTCTCTAAAGCTTGAATTCGAAGTCAGGTATTCCGTCGCATTGTCACTAAGCACCTGTAGAGGTGAAGTAAAGTGTGGACGAGGAGACAATCACCCCTTGTCATCTTGTCAGTCCAGAGTGACTTACGTCCTGTGTTCGCAGACGTACAGTGTGTGTGTGTGTGTGTGTGTGGGTGCACACGGGAACAGAGTATACATAGATTAGCCAAGGACTGAGAGGATGTCCATGTAATATTATATTCCATTCTGGTAATTCAATCATTTTTTATCGTCCGTGGGATGGAGTGATGTTATTCCAAGTAATTACCTAAGTGTAATTACCTAAGTGTAGTTACAGGATGAGAGCTACGCTCGTGGTGTCCCGTCTTCCCAGCACTCTTTGTCATATAACGCTTTGAAACTACTGACGGTCTTGGCCTCCTCCACCTTCTCACTTAACTTGTTCCAACCGTGTACCACTCTATTTGCGAAGGTGAATTTTCTTATATTTCTTCGGCATCTGTGTTTAGCTAGTTTAAATCTATGACCTCTTGTTCTTGAAGTGCCAGGTCTCAGGAAATCTTCCCTGTCGATTTTATCAATTCCTGTTACTATTTTGTATGTAGTGATCATATCACCTCTTTTTCTTCTGTCTTCTAGTTTTGGCATGTTTAATGCTTCCAACCTCTCCTCGTAGCTCTTGCCCTTCAGTTCTGGGAGCCACTTCATAGCATGTCTTTGCACCTTTTCCAGTTTGTTGATGTGCTTCTTAAGATATGGGCACCACACAACAACTGCACATTCTAGCTTTGGCCTAACAAAAGTCATGAACAATTTCTTTAGTATATCGCCATCCATGTATTTAAATGCAATTCTGAAGTTAGAAAGCATCGCATAGGCTACTTGCACAATATTCTTTATGTGGTCCTGAGGTGATAGTTTTCTATCTAGAACCACCCCTAGATCTCTTTCTTTATCAGAATTCTTTAAAGATTTCTCACATAATATATAGGTTGTGTGGGGTCTATGTTCTCCTATTCCACATTCCATAACATGACATTTATTAACATTAAATTCCATTTGCCAAGTGGTGCTCCATCTACTTATTTTGTCCAGGTCTTCTTGAAGGGCATGACAATCATCTAAATTTCTTATCCTTCCTATTATCTTAGCATCATCAGCAAACATGTTCATATAATTCTGTATACCAACTGGTAGATCATTTATGTACCCAATAAACATCACTGGTGCAAGAACTGAACCCTGTGGTACTCCACTTGTGACATTTCTCCATTCCAATACATTGCCTCTGATTACTGCCCTCATTTTTCTATCAGTCAGAAAAAATTTTATCCATGATAGAAGCTTACCTGTCACCCCTCCAATATTTTCAAGTTTCCAGAACAACCTCTTATGTGGAACTCTGTCGAAAGCCGTTTTTAGGTCCAGATAGATGCAGTCAACCCAACCATCTCTTTCCTGTAATATCTCTGTGGCTCGATCATAGAAACTGAGTAAATTCGATACACAGGATCTTCCAGATTGAAAACCATACTGTCTGTCTGATATTATATCATTTCTCTCTAGGTGTTCTACCCATTTAGTTTTGATTAGTTTTTCCAATACTTTCACTATTACACTTGTCAAAGATACAGGTCTATAATTGAGGGGGTCTTCCCTGCTGCCACTTTTGTAGATTGGAACTATGTTAGCCTGTTTCCACACGTCTGCTACGATTCCTGTACACAGGGATGCCTGAAAGATCAGGTGAAGTGGAATGCTGAGCTCAGATGCACATTCTCTCAGAACCCATGGTGAAATGCCATCTGGGCCAGTTGCTTTGTTCTTACCGAGCTCCTTGAGCATTTTTTCCACTTCGTCTCTAGACACCTCTATGTGCTCTATGTTGTTCTCTGGAATTCTTATCGTATCTGGTTACCTAAAGATTTCATTTTGTACAAACACACATTGGAACTTTTCGTTTAGTGTTTCACACATTTCCTTTTCATTTTCCGTGAACCTATTTCCCATTTTCAACCTCTGAATATTATCCTTTACCTGCAATTTGTTGTTTATGAATTTATAGAATAGACCTGGTTCTGTTTTACATTTGTCTGCAATCCCTTTTTCAAAATTTCTTTCTGCCTCTCTCCTCACTGCCGTGTAGTCGTTTCTCGCATCTTTGTATCGCTGGTATGTTTGGGGGTTCGGCCTCTTCCTGTATTGATTCCATTTTTGTGTCTTTTGGTCTCTAACCCTCTCGCAATTTCTATTGAACCAATCCTGTTTCCTAGTTCTGCATCTCTGTTTTGGTATAAATTTTTTTGTGCCTTTATCATATATTTCACAAAACTTGACATACATCTCATTCACTTCCTTGCCTAGCATCAAGTCTGTCCAATTATACTCACTAAAAAAATTTCTAAGGTCACCATAATGTCCTCTCCTGAAGTCTGGTTTTTCAACTGCTTCAACCTCCTTATTTTCTTCCAGCTTATAACGCATTGCATACTTTATACCCAAAAAGACATGGTCACTTTTACCCAAGGGAGGAAGGTACTGAATGTCAAATATCTCTTCCTCCTTCCTGGTAAATATCAAATCTAGCATGGAGGGAACGTCCCCTTCCCTCATCCTCGTAGCTTGTTTAACATGTTGATACAAGAATGTTTCCAGGATGAGGTCTACAAATTTACAGGTCCAAAAATCTTCTGTTTTAGCTTCATATGCTTCCCAGTCTATGGATTTCAAGTTGAAGTCACCGACTATCAACAGTCGTGATCTATCGTTATCCGCTCTCGCTATAATCTCTCTCATTATTGTTATAAGACCTTCACGTTTACTATCTAGCTCCTCCTTTGACCATGTGCTGCTTGGCAGTGGACTATATGCATTTATTATCATTAGTTTATCATCCTCA